TATGATATGGATTATTCAATAATTATTATTAGCTTATGGTTTCGAGGGGACTTCAGTATTTACAACAACAACAACAACAACAACTTACACAACGTAACAACTTTGACTCGTACACTCTTTAAATAGCGCTATAAACGCTGTATTCCATTCACATCCATTCACATCCATTCACATCCAATCACAAGCACGCTTATAAATTGCTTAAGAAGAAGAAGTGGAAAAACTTCCTCTAACGAGACTTATTTCAAAATAATGCTTTCAATAGCTCGCACTAACTGTTGAGCTAAAATTCGTCCCGAATTGTCACTACCTTTACCATCTTGAATTGTAACCAGGACTTTGATCAACTGATGGGCACACTTGCAATTCTTGACAACTTGTTGCGCCACGAGTGATGAGTATCCAAAATTCGTCCTAAACGAAGGTAACTTCCTACAACTTTTTTTGTTTTCTTTATGACTATTTTTATTAAAATGTTATTACATTTCTTCGGAATAAGCGTGGGGTGGGGTGAACTCTCTTGAGGGGCAAAAAAAACTATAAGGTTTCAGTAATTAAGTCGATTAACTACGTACTCGTATACAGCGCACCGGCGTATCCTACCATTTAAAATAATGTCATCTATACAATCTATCACTCTCGCACGCTTCCCATCTCTAATATGTATATATATATATATATATATATAGTTCATATTAGAGACTTTAGCAAAACTTATCAATTATTTAAACAATTTTTTGAGAAACTCATAGGCATAATTTGTTCGATATAATTCCTGTCTATGCCAATTCACTAGATCTTATGTATATAAATATCAAAAAAACGTCGGTGATAAATAAACTGTTTACACCACTGAACCTCAAAGTAAAAAATTCATAGAACAGTATGAGGGCAAATCTTGAACAGTTACACCATCTTAAGCTACATACAAAAAAATCGTTTTTCTAATTAAAACCTCATTAGCTGATTATCATTGTTTTTAAGATTTAAACTGTGTAGAAAATTTTACATAGAAAAATTTCAAACCGATTTTTGGTGTATAAACGGCACGATATAGTCCTGTGTTTGCTTTGCACATCTTCGCGAAACGAAGATCCCCATGCAAATCTAATTAAGGCTATCAGTTGAAGATTTCTATAAAAATCTTTACGATTGTGGGAAATGTAAAAACGACAAAGGGCAGATTAAAAGCCTAACGAAAACGTTATATCGTCGAAGAATCTTATTTAACAGATGCTTGCATGTATATTGGCCAGCGACATCTTTTGCTGAAAATGACAACATAATGCGAAGCATCTATGTACGCAACGTTTAAATTCGATGATTTTGACCGTTCCCTTCATTCAGTTTACACGGGCGGTAATCATGGAACACTCTAAATCGCATTTTTGACATGTTGTTTGGTTTCGAGGAATCGATGAAAATCCCAGACGCAAAAAGTCAGAAAATCTATGCACATCGACACCGGAGCGAAATATTCTTGGCCACAAAGTTTTACCGTGCGTATGGTGGGATCAGCAAGGAGTAGTATATTACTGTGACCTATCAAAACCGAATGAAACTGTTGCTGCAGATGTCTACCCACGTCAATTGAACAAATCGAACGATGTATTGTTGCAAAAAAAAACTAGCAGTAGCGGTTAAGAGACGAAAAGTCCTACTAGTGCCCTCTGATTACCACTTGTGCATGTTAAAGAAGTCCGAAAATGGGTCGCTGATTGATTGGATCGCTGTCAAATTAACATCGCTAGAAAGATGGGAAAATGATGGAAAATATTTGGATGTACCAATTTTCTTCAATAAATGCCTTTTTCAAGTGAAAAAATGGCCAAAATACGTGCAAGCATCTAATAAAATCTGGCTACAATCGAAGAGAAAAATCTACTACAACTACTCTCTAGCCATCATCGTTATTAGCCAGAAGTGCATTAATAAAAAGATATATCGCTCTTTCCAACGATTCGTATACATATTCGATCTAATAGGTAAAAACCGCATTGGTATTAAACCAATCACTCACTCTGCAAGAGAAGATTGCCAAAGAAAAAGAAAAAGAAGTAAAAGAAAAAAAACAAAAAAAAAAAAAAAACGATAAATACACAAATAAAACCCGTCAATGGCTCATAAAGCTTAATAAAGTACGATATCCTTTTGTGGAATCGCGTACCAACATAAGTAATAACGCATAATTTGCACCGTGCGACACGCACCAGGGATCGAACCTACTTCTTTTCGAGCAGAGCGAACGAAACCTTACGAGTCATTTTGACCAACTGGCTACCTGGTCTGTGTAACGACTTGGCAATTTTCGCAAGTTTGCATCCGCTTTGGCGAGAATTGAGGACGTGACTAATTTTATCATCTCCCTTAACATTCACCAATCCAATAATTATTACGTTATGTCATCTGTATTTATTCCGAGAAGTAGAACTAGCAATAATATATTAAAGTATGCTTACGACGCGAGAAGAAGGTACGATGAGAGAAGAAAATTTCATCAAGGATTTAATTTCGCCAGATATTTTGAGTTTCACACTGTCTCTCGCTGTGTTGCTGGCATAGACTCGCATGAATTTTATGCCACTGAGTGATGCTGTGAACCCAGCAGGCAAAACTGATATATATATATATATATATTGTGAAAATGCCCAAAGTAAATAACTTTCGTTTCATGTTTTAAGGATTTTATTTTTATTTTTATAGACTGTATGTACACATGGACATATGCACTTATGTTTTTAAATATGTAGTCGTCAGTATAGCCTGCGCCCTTTTGTGGCACAAGATTATATTAAGTTTGTGCGGTTGTGTGCATCAGGCGGAAAGGCTTTAAGTAGATTCGGAATCACTTTATCAATCGATCCAAGCTTGTCTGTCCGCCTGTCCGTCTTTCCGGCCGTGTTCAACCTATATGCCACAATTTTTGAAATATTTTAATAAAATTTGATGCCATAATTGACGCGTTTGCACCCAACGGCGAGAGCTATTGAAAATGATTCTGTAACTGTAGTGCGGTGTAGACCATATATAATCTCTATCCTTGTTCTTCAAAGAGCTTATCCATGTGTATGCTTTTATAATACTTCAAACTCTCTTCTTTAACGCTCTTCGTGGCTGTTCAACGCACGCACGAACGCACGCACGCACGCACATACATACGTTCTTTAACAGAAATCAAGTAAAGATGTCTTGTGTAAGGTCTTTTCCAGTTTTACTGAGTCATTTGCTCGTCTTATCTTAAATACCTGGTGCAAAAACGACTAATAAAGATTTCAATTTCCTTTTGAAAATTGACATACATGTGTTTTATTCAGCAATTTCAAATGAAATTTGCAACAAACATGCACAGCATATGCATTTTGCACTGCACTGCAAACAGTTATTATTATTTAACAGCCTTATATGGTTTCAAATTTGAAAATTGTTTATAAAAATATATTTATTTCATTTGGTCATAAAATCGTTTCTCCAGTTTCGTTTACAATATGTCTTCAATATTACTAAAATCAGATTCTCGAAGGTTGTTTCTTTTTTGTGTGCTTGTTAGCTTCGTCAAGAAACAGATTTATTTTTTAGTACGTTACGTGTTTGAATGCATGTCTGTTTTTTCGCCCGTCTATCGAATAGTTAGCTGACTAATTGCACTTGAACGCAAATTGATAAATGTGTTGAGCTCAAGAGCTTACTCAATTATAGATGCATACACACATATATCGGTTTGGTTGGCCAGCGACAATATTGATGAATGTCAGGAAATATAAAAAACAATTTTTTTTATTTTTTCAAAACTTTATTTTAACTTTAACTGTTTAAGTAAACAGAAGTGAACTTACGGCAAAGTGAGTAATTTATAGTTTATACAGGAAATATATATTAAGCACATTTTTAATTCTGTTTGAATTTAGAAACTGTAGAAAAAAAATCAAGAAATTGATGATAAATAAACGAATTAATAAATGAGGAAACGAATAAATAAAAAACTTGAATACCTATTACCCCAATCATAAAACTTTTTTATGATTGCTCACGCATGCGATTACCGATTATGATCATTTTCAAGTAATGCTGCCATGAACGCTCCACAAAATAATGTTTGACCGAGCTTACGGTCAAAGTAATACACTGATTACGATTACTTATAGTGAATGAGTATGCTCGCCGTCTTTCGATAGTTCTGTCAATTAACAGACCTTTATTTACTTTGGGTCGAATTTCAAAAACTTTTAGTCTTTAGTTTAGTTAGCAGAAGAAGATCGAGAATATTTATATAAGAGTAGAAAGTTTCAAATCAATGACCGCTATAGAACACAATGACAATCGGACAGAGTTTTCAGTATATATTTTTTTTTTTTTTTATTTTGACTATTTCATTTTTACTGTAAGGATGTGTAGGCGTTTCAGTGGATATTTCCAAATTCGATCCACGAAATTAAGTCAATTCTCGCATGGTTCCTTTCGCTGTTGTTTATATATGACAAACACCCCTTCTTAAATCTGCAACAACTGCAGGATTTCTCTTGAGGAAATGTGGTCAAGATGGCAAGAAACTCACATTTCGCTTTCACTTTTCACGCATTTGGCGAAAATACTATTAACGTGAACGAAGACGAGCACAAAAACGCTTTAGGCATTGCAGTCGTTGCGTCGCAATACGTGGAGATACTCTACCGTTTAAGGTAAATTCTTTTATTCTAAGCTCTCAAGGTGCCAGCATTTCCCGTGCAAGTTATCTGATTACGATAATCTCACTTCCTACCACCCGACCACTACTTTTTCCCGCGTCTCATAGCAATTTTTGATATAATATTTTCCTTTAGGTTTTATATCCTAAATTCATTTATATATAGATTGTACAGATCGGTTCTTGATTATCTAGAAGGTTTTTCTGAACATGGGAAGTAAAGAGACTAACTTTGAAGCCTTTCAAAACATTTCATCGAATATTAACATATTGTAAATATTTCAAAAACTTTTGCATTTTTTCTTGTTTACATCCATAGATGCCTATGGCAACTTCGTTGGATAAAGACGCTATACGCGAAGCCTATGAAGACGTACGTTCTGACCTCACAGACACGGAGTGGTAAGATATTCAACACATATTATATATATATATCTATATATATATTTGTATGCATACATTTACACGTATATGTACATGTATATATGTATTTTTTTTAAAAAAGAAATTAATCTAAAATCAATCTTTCAGGGCCGTCTTTAAATTTGATGGGCCCCGTATTATTTGTACAGCTCGTGGGCAATGTTTCGAAGAATTCCGTCAGCAATTCGGTGATAATGAGAGAGCCTTCGGCTATATACGTATACAAATGGGTGATGAAATGTCTAAAAGAAAAAAATTCATTTTTCTTACATGGATTGGACAAAATGTTGGCGTAATACAAAGGGCCAAAATGTCCACGGATAAAGCGTTAATTAAGGATGTTTTAAATGTAAGTTTGTTGGTTTCTTTTTTATACATTCATTTTTAGTTCATCATTCTCATTCATTTCCCCTATTTTTCTGTTTTTTGTTTTGGTTTCTCCTTAAAGAATTTTGCTGTTGAATTACAAGCCGGTGCTGAGAACGAATTGGACATTGATCTCTTCCGTGATGCCTTGAATCGTGCTGGCGGTGCTAATTATGGTACTGGTGTGCGTAATTTTTAAGACTTTTTAAATGCATTAATTCGCCCCGTGTGAGTTTGCTTTCTGAAGCTAATGGAAACAACGAAAATAAAAAATAAACATATATTTTCGACAATTTTTGAAACAAAAATTCTAATTTTGTAAGCATTTTTTTTCTAACAATAAAACATAAGAAGAGAAAGTGAGCAAATTGTTGCTATAAAGTCCTGATTAGCTGCTAAGTGTATTTAAGATATTGATTTTACTTACTTTTTAACACAACGACAGCCATACATACATACATATATATATACGTACATATATATTCTAATATATATAATTTATCATATATATATATATACATATGTATTTTCAATTACTTTTAAAAATTCGTTCTATATATAGATACATCCTAAAGAAGAACTAAAAAATGGATTTTCGAAATTTACAAAAATTTGTTTAAAACGCAATGAAATAATTTAATAAATGTCATCAAAATTTATATTTCAATAGTCGTATAAAATTTTGAGTCATTTATTTTGTTTGATTCGTGATCGCAGAGGCGACGCTCTGGTGTTACGATTGCGCTTCTCGTGCTGTGATCGAATTGAGTTACACTTGGTGGTCGTTACGTTTCCAATAGAATGTTTGTGACGGTATCGATGATGGTGTGTAACAAGGTAACGTAAAGTAGACAAACAAAAGTAACGGAATATGTTAATTGAACAAAACACATGGTGAAAAAAACAAAATCTATTGAAAAGGAATACCAAGCAGAGTTTAATCAATAGAATATAAGCTGGAGCAGCAGTAAGTATATTTCAACATTTAACTTTAATGTAAGAAAAATACAAATAAATTATTTAAATTAAAATGTAACTAAAATTAAAGCAAAAATGACAGGATTTCGTCATACTGTTCCTGCGAAGAGAAGGAAAAGAAGGAAGAAGGAAGGAAGAATAAGGCTCGCATTTAATATCTTCCTTGCGTAATCAAATATATCCATTTAGGCTTATCCTTTCGGTTAAGCAAACAATGCATAAAGTAAAGACATAAAGCAAATCGTGCCTCATGAGAAGGCAATGCAATGCAAATGTTAACAATAACATTAAATAGGACGAAAACATCATTGTAGCCAAGAAGGAGAATGGCAAGGTCATCACCTACGAAATCAGGAGAAAGCGTATTTTTTGCCGTTTCACTAGGTCTGTCATATAATTTTTGTCACAAGTGCTTTCAACTCCCAAAAAACGTGTTGGGAGGCGCGGAGCAGTTAAAGAATTTCTCCAGCTTCCGACAAGCGCATGATAATTTTAACAAAGGGAGATCCCTTCAAGCCGGCTAGAGCAATTTCGAATGAAATTAGGAATGTTGTATCACTCCGAATTGGTCGCCGAAGATTATCAGGTGCCAATCTCTTAGGAAGAATAGCTCGGAAAGTTTTCTTCCTTAGAAAAGTTAATTTGGAGAAGAGGAAAAACTTTGCATTTGCCCATAAAAACTGATGCAAACCAGAGGGCGAAGAAAAGTGGAGAAATATACTTTGGAACGGCGAAACATAAATAAACTTGTTTGGAAATGTAGCGAACAGAAGTGTACTTCGGTCAAAAGGCCATTAAAGAAGGCCAAAAGAACCCGTTTTTCATATGTTACTCGCCACCAATTTTATCGCCGAATGAACTTTCATTCGACACTGACAAAAATCGTATTCCTTGTCGATAGCTGTAAACTCGCTACTCGACGCGTCGACAAGACAGCCGAGCAGATTTCGACAGCCGTAAAACGATCGCAGTTCGTCTAACCACAGCGAATGGAAACGGCCTCATCCAGAAAAATCAGAAATTGAAGATTCTGTTGCTTATGTTCCCACATATCATTTCTTAAGGAAAAGCACGCACAAGCACACACAAGTATTTTTACCAAAGCGCTATTACACATACACACGTATATTGAATGTATTCGGAGCCAACTAAATGAGAAGGTGCACGAATATGCTGTTCAAAATTGAAAGTTGTAAAATCTCTCAGCGACTTTTGATGCTTCTGTTATCAATGACAATAGTAGCGCTAGTCATTAGCACTCTTTTAAATGCTTCTTCTTTCATTCCGATTATATTATTTACCGATACAACTTTTGTTAATGATTTCCTGATATGACAACACACGGTATCAAATGTTAGCAAAGCAAAATCGTACAGAATTCTGTGTTTTTAAATGATTATTGGGGTTTGACGTAACGAGGTGTTATTTTCCTTCTCCGGATAAAAACTTGCAAATGGTAACACATATTGTTTTATAAGAATATGTAAACAAAAACATATGCTCTTAGAAATAAAAGTGAAGAAATCAACACAAGTGTAAATAACAAATTTATAAAAAATAACTATAATGACTTGATTAATTTTCATAATCTGCTCAAATTTTATGACACCATGGAAAGGCTTTTTGTGTATTCACTGATCCATGATCTAGAAATTACCATTCATGACTCATTTTTTTTTTTTTTTTTGTTTGTATTTGATATGGATTGGACCTTTTAACTTAAATTTAGATCCATAATCCAGTAACTATATAGAAATCCATTGCTGATATTCATAATTTCACGTGATGATGAAATAATGATGCTTTTTTACTAAATTTCTTGAATTTTTGCCTTCTAGGTTATGTTTAACTCATTGGTGATGAAATTGTTTACGTTAAATTGAGTAACGTGCTGTTAACTTAAATTTATATCCATGATCTAGTAACTTTATAGAAATCCATTGATGATATTCAAAATTTCACGTGATGATGAAATATTGATGCTTTTTTACTAAGATTTTTTCAATTTTTTGCTTTCTAGGTTATGTTTGACTCTTTTCTTTATTTCAATTGAGTACCACGCTGAAGTTGGTTGTGTACACCCCAACGACAGCATGAAGACTGATTCATGACTCTCCAATAGAACAATTTTAACTTTGAAGCGAACGGTCGTTGGTGCTTCTTTTCCATTTGTTACAAAATCACGTGGTATAAACCAACATTCCAAATCACATAATATAAAAACAAATGTAGATTAGTATACGATAAACATAAATTAGATAAATAATTTTGAAAATTTAAAGATAACAATCACCATTTCTTCTTATGCTTTCCTTTTTTTGTATGTATAGATGCTAATACAATTCCCATAAAGTGTTGTAAAAAGTCGGCGAAGTTCAAGTCCCAATCCGAAAAAAAAGAGTAACACCTTATTGTGTCAGTCTCGTACGCGCTTTGATACCCTTACAAGTGTAGGTGTAAAAAACAGACTACAGACTAGAAAGGTAACCAATACCACTTGTTTTTGTTTTATTGGTCATTTCATATTAAAGAATTCTAGATTTTATATTTAGGAAACGCTTCAACAAGGTTCGGTCAAAGTATTCTACGAAGAAATTCTTTATATTAAAAAAAAGTTATTTTATAACAATACTTTGTATTTGTATTTTGTAATTTGTATTATATTTGCGTAGAAATGCATTGACCTATGTTTTGGTGATCTTATGTTATTTACTCAAAAACTTTTGGCATGAAGCTCGTACCGCTGAGTTGTGATTTTTAGGACAGTATAGATGCGCTATTTACAATTCTTAGGAGATCTATTTACAGAATTTGTATTTACAACGCTTTAATTCTCGTTTCGTGTCCGCTCAAACATTGCAATTGAATTCCCTTGACCGGACTCGAATTTGTTTTCTGTAAAAATGCTGCATATATACCGTTTTACAACAACTACGATACCATTAGCTAAATTCGTCGCGACATCTTTTTATCAATCCCGTTTTCCGCTAAGTTTTTGCTAGTTGTCAATCTTTCCGCGAGTCGTTGACTGCATTGGGCGCATAAAACGTCGTTATTATGTCTTTGGTCGTTCCTTTCTTTGAAGTTTTGTTCCTTCGACCATCAACTAATTTTCATGAAATGACAATGTGTTATACAATTTCCCATCTCTCAAATCACAGCTCAGCTGTATAAACTATTTGCGTGAAAATAGCAATAGGGCAGTTCGCATTAGAATATAAGTATATGTAATATGCATTGTAATTAACCAATATGATGTTCAATTAAGGATTACCGGGCTTTTTTTCGTTTGCGTCCTCTTAGGATCCGCTTGCATTCCGATGCTTATGATCTTTAAGCTTCTCATGCGCTAATTGAATTGTCTGGCCATGAAACCACATGTCGTTCACATCAATATCATCCGAATTTAGGTAGAAATACCTGAATTATCGAGCACCAGTAACAGTCATGAAAAATGTGTTCTCGGCAATCACATGCGGGTTCTGTCAACCTCAAAGGCGCCGAAAATGGCGATTAACGAAGCCACCAAGGTGACCATATTTTGTACAAAACTTGAGGTATGTAGCAGCCAAATTTTCATTCCTTTTGAAATATTGCTCAATACTGAAGACGCATTACTTTCTCCTCTAAAGCTCCATTTGTATTTACCTTAAACTGTCAGTATATAAAATCCTGTGACTCAATAATCTCTTATTTAGTAACTTAAACAAGGAAAATCAGTGACAATCAGTTTTGTCTAAAAGTTTTGAAGCAATGATCTTAGTCTTTATTACGATATCTTCGATGTTTAGTTCCATGTATCCAAAAATGATAAATTAAAAATGCTAATATTAAATTTTGTGCGTTAATTACAGCAAAAGCGAAATTAAGTCGAATTCAACCGATTAGAAAATTTAATATAATATTGTAAATACCACTACGATCGTCGTAAAACGAAGCACCAACCGGCAATGATAACTGCGCAGACACGCAGACAGTCCCCTTTACGACATTAAGAAAATCGAATGATGCATCGAACAGATGGAAATGGAAATCATTATTATACATCTGATAAAGCACCCGGAATTGCGTAGAGTTTCGAAATTCAACAAATTCTCCACGACAACTTCGCAATATATCTTTGCCTTTTTATTTGAACCATTTCAAATTCCATGTGAAAGCATGAAACAACAGAGCATATTCCCGTGTTGAGAATTTGCAGAGAATCGCACTTTTAGGATGTATTTCACTGCGTATGCCGACCATGCTTGAAACTGACCAAGTACCCTCTACCTCGATTGGTATAATTTATTGGAAATTCGCGCGTGGTTCTAGCAAGTTGCAATCTGCCTCTTAGAAATGATTTCATACCCAAACCTTACTAAACCTACTATATGTGCATGCGGAATTTGCACGGCAAGCATCTACAAGTTCTCTAAAACAATGCTTTACAACGTTAGGGGTTCCGCTAGCTCTTTGCGAAACTGAAACCTTATATATCTTCTAAAATTTATGTTCTTGTCAAATTAGTATTGAAACTCAGGAACGATATCATTCGCTATGTTTCGTGTACATAGAAGTCTCCAGCTATAGTATGGGAGAAAAAATTAGTATAAGTACTTTTAGTATATCAAATTAGAAAAATCTGAATTGTAAAGATTGCCAAGATTGCTTTGCAACACAGCATATGCTTATGGCGTAAATTTACAAGAACTTCTCTAAAGCATGACTCCAGAAATTTCAACCAATTAGGAGGAAAACAAAAGAAAAATAGCAGCATACTTTAACTCAATCAACTTCTAATGATGGCAGGATTGGGGATTTTACCGAAACAAATGAAGTGATAGGATAAAAGTCGTCTAACGACGAAAGAAATTAGAAATGTTCATCTTAGTGAGGAAATAGGAAAAGTGGAAATATAAAGGATCGTTTCTTATGTAGAATGGGCTGCTTATTCTATAATATAAATTAATTATCTGTGTGGTTTCAGTGAACATTTAATAGTTACGAGCAGAATTGGATTAAAGCGAAAAAAGTCGCCAAAGGCATCTCATACATAATCAGATAGATATAAGATATGTTACAGTCACCCAAAATATTTTATGTTGTATATTTTATATGAGCTTCATCATTCTAAAGAAGACTGTGGACATCTTTCCACTTGAACGTAAATATAATTGAAAGCAAAATTATTAAGTACGGAACAGCCACTCAACATTTGCCATCTTTTGGTGTTTTCTGTTTTAAATGTTTCATTTTAATGTAACTTATATTAATAAAATTTCAAAAATAAATCAACAAACTCGATATTTATATATTTATTCAATACTTGTATGGAAAGTTGTTATGAGATGAGCTTCTTCATAAGTTAAATGAATGAAATTACTTTAAAAGAAATTTGTTTCGTTTTTATTTGTTTCTTGCTGATATTGAAAGAAATAGATATATGTCTTGTATTCTTGTTTAGAATAAGTTAAACGTTACTTAAAAATTCTTTCATAATGCGGATAATTAATGTCGCCGAAATAGAACTTTATGTAAAGCATCGATATCGATTTCTAAAGGTGTTTTGTTCGATGTTAAAGAACTAGAAATGAAATAAAAGTAATTGAAAGTTTTTCTCGTAAAACATATGCGTCTACAACCTAAGCTCACCTGGTAGAAGGTATGGCAGGAGCGGTAGGTTTGTTAGACGCTCTCGGATTGACCAATAAACACTTCATGGGTTGCCCATCTAACTGACGATTGTGATAGGTATCAACTGCCTTCTCGGCATCAGACAAGGACTTGTAGATTACTTCTGCTATGCCGGGCCTCACAATACGCGAGTCATACAAGTCGCCTATATCTTCGAAAAGTTCTTTAATGTCCGCATGTGTAACACTGGTGTGCAGATTACTGACAACTATGCGGTAATATGTTGAAGAGTTTGGTGTCATAGAAGCAGTCGTGGAAGCCGAAGACGGCTTAAGAGGATTAGAAAATATACCCATAGAAGCATGCGGGTCCGGTGCGCGTTCTAAACGTGTACGCATTTCATACGAAAGATGGGAAGAGGGTTCTGGTATATAACGGCGAGCATAAAGATCGGGGCTATGTCCTCTTGTCAACAGGCCTTTAGATGGAGACAAGTCTGGAGAAATGCGTCGCTCACGGCGTGTATCATGTGGTACTTCATACACATCGAAGGGATCATAATGATGATGATCGGTTGTCGAAGAGCCCCAAGAGTTTAGACGCCTGGGTGCAGCTGGTGGCACTTCATAAGCTATATCATTTTTCACAGTGCGACTCAAACGTGAAGCAGCCGCATATTCTTCTAGTATATGAAAGAAAAAAAAGAATTAAGAAAGAATGCACATATTAAAACTCTTTTTCTCTAACCCTCTTCAATTTTCTCCATATTGTCGTAGTCCACATAACCACGCGGAGGGACACCTACAGTGTCTGGCCGCCTCGAATCACGCAATAAGAACGTTGTCGCCTCTCTTCTATATCCAGATGCTCCCGAGGCAGTGGAATGCTTAGTTCTCAAACCGCCAGACGGCAGTAACTTACGAACATTACCATTGCCTGCTGCTGCTCGTTCGCCAATGCGCATATTCTTGAAATTGCTGTGGAGATTCCTGTTTTCGGACCTATGCTGCTTTTCCAAAAGTTTCTTTCTGACGTCGCCATTGCTACGCGTAATTTCAGCCAACTTGTCACGAGCGTCTCGTATCTTTGCACGATTCTTCTCTATAATTTTCAAACGAGCATCTGTAACACGCTGAACGTCCTTAAATGCAGGACGATTTAGAGGTTTTCGTAAATTTGGACTAGGCAACTTCTTTGAACCGCTACGTATGGAAAAAAATCATTAATACTTTATCTCATACCACGCTTTTAGGAAAGACACCAACGCCAAGACTTACAATTTCCTGGAAGGTGCAGTAACCAGCTTCTTGCTTTTAATTAAATCATCTAAACTTATGTCCATGTTGATAGAGGGAACTGTTTTCCTTCCTTATATGATCAAAACTCGCCTACAAAAAATTGTATAAAATTATTAATAAAAGCAATTTTCTCAAGTATGTTCGCGGCAGTTGCCTGAATGTTTTTCCTTGCTTCTTTTACAGTGCTGCCAACACTCAAACTTGATTGCCGTAAATTTGAATCTTATTAAGCGATTAAACCGAATGAACCAGTTATTAACAGAATATATGTCCTCTTTACGTCGAGTTAAATTCAAGTTCAACTGAAATTAAAACACTTACTTCTCAACTATAACTAAGATTATTCTGCTTTGGTGCTCTTCAGTACGGTTGCCATTTTAGATATACGGTACGCTACCTATTACTATCTTACCAGATTTTCGAAAATAATATAAATCTAAGATTCTCGTATAAATTTTTATGTTATCGTGCTAAAACGCTAAGGTGGTTTTATATATGTTTTCATACTGTGCCGTACTTGTGGTACAAGTTTATATGCAATTTGTGCGGGTGTATCCAAAACCCAGACGAAATCGAGATAACCGCATCCTTTATTATATCGATCGATTCACTAAACCAAAAGAAATTACCTACATGTTTACAATGTTATTATATTATATGAAAACGATAGAATGTAAAACGCATGAAATACAAGTGGTATGTCGCCTGCTCAATATCTAGAATATTACCGCATGAAACCTACTAGCAAAACATCAACCATCTTATTAAATAAATTCCCAGTTGGCGGAGATTAGCGAGTGGTGCCTCCTATTATAATTGTTATTCCTGCTCAATGGTTTGTATTAGTTATTTTTCTTTAAAAGTTGGCAATCTATCTGAAAAGTAAAAGCAGATTAAAAAACCCGGCAACTCTGTATGCTTTGGTCGGTCGAGGAGTGTGAAAAACTGATTTTCTCGGAAAGAAATTACACAAACAAGTTATAAAACTAAAAAGTTAATGTAAATATGTGGCAAAATAGCCATTTAAGGAACTTGAAAAGGGGATATAAAGAAAATTTATAATAAAAATAATATATTGAGAAATTTGAAGTGCAAAGGTATGGGGAAAAAATAAATAAAAAAAAAAATTGAAGAAGAGTATAAATTGAAAAGGTTGTGTCATTATATTTTTTTGAAAATTCAAAAGGAGGATAGTTTTTTGATGGGAAATGCCAAATCACGCCATAAGCTATCCGTTGCAAATGAAAATTCTGCTAATGTAATTTCAAACTGCAAACGAATCCAAAAAACTGCAGGAGGTAGGCCAGAAGAGCAGAAATTTCGAAAATCAACAACAACTATAGCATCAGCAGCTAAATATAACAAAACACAGTATCAACATTCGTTAGCAGCTGATGATGGCCAGCAACAACAACAACGACGTTTAAAACAGGTAACTCAAAATTTACACATGTATGTATTCAAAATTTAGTATCTACATATAAGTTAGGACAAGAGAACAAAGGTTTTCATGCAAGTACCTGAAAGATATCAGTGAAAAAGAAAAAATAAAGAAAGCACGATTTTTTCAAATCCTTCAATAAATTGTCAGAAAAAAGTTGGCTTAACCTAGGAAAAATGATAATAATGTTCGTTCGGCAGTCGTCAATCGAGCATCACCGTTTAAACAACCCCTTTGTCTGTGTAAAAAAGAAGAAGAAAACTAAAGAAAGATTTCATATATATATATAAAGCAAGTGAACTTACTTTAAAGAAAGTAATTGTAAGTAAAAATTGAAAGTTTAATGCCTTTTATAATGTTACCACCAACCATTCCTGAATACTTATGCATATAAGCGATATGTATATACAGTACGTATTTCAAGCCACACATAGTTGGGTCGTATAATTCATAACACGATTTACCGTAATTGTTCAACTCAAACCTAGATGGCCGCACATTTTTGATTACTCTGGCCCCTTGTGAAAATATTTAAGAAAGTTCCGAACGACAGTTTTGTTGCGATGTACATTGTTATTTTCTTTAAAACGAAGTGACATACATCGAGCAATGCAATTCTCGAGAAGAGTTGTTTAAGGCGGTTTTACAGGATTCGTGGTTCCGGCGCTACAATTATCACACTATTTTTGTTCTACACCCTTTGTATTGTAGTTTGTATAGATATGTAAAGATGTATCATACGGAAAAGTAAATATTTACGCGAGCTTCCCTTATCCAACGTGGAAAATTTTTTGTTTTTAATTATTTCAAATGTTACATGAAGATGTACTTATGCACTTATATTTTACCAGTCCATCGCGCTAACGTCAATAGAAATATATTTTAAAACATTTGTTTTCCTCAAAGGCATGATGATATCAAGCCTGTATGTCGCAACTTTTTAATTTTGTAGTAAGAAATTGGCCCGATCTACGGAGGAGAGTAATTAAGAAGATAAACTAAAAGCATTAAAAAATCACGTTCGCGACCCGAATTTACTAAAATAACTTCTAAAGGTGTATCGGCTATCGCTGTTTACTGCACAAGGTTTTGCTAAATAGGTTTTAGAAAATTGCCGATTTATTTGGACCGTTCCGCTTTTTATTGAAATCATGTTATACTGAACTTTTTTATTTATTTAAATTTAATAATTATTTTTATAAATTAATAAAATAAAGAAAGTCAGTGTTAACTTCAAGTTTTTATTTAAAGAAAAAGAAAAAAAAAACAAGAAACTCAATATGAAATTAAAAAAATATGTTCAAACAATAATAAAGACGATCACAAAATTAATTTTCTTTAATAATTATAGTTATAGTCTATTTTTTTTCTCAAAGTACGTTAAAACTACTCTTCATACCGGTAAACTTATTCCACCGGAATACATATTCAATTTTTCAAAATCGCCTTAAGGTGAAATCGTTTTGTAATAATCGCAAATTTTGTATCGTGTTGCATCGAAAGTGTGTTTGACAAGTACCGTGTTCCACGAGGGATGTCTGTATTATTGGTTGCATGCGCTTGTGAAAATTAAAAACAGTTCGCATGTTCCCATATTACGTACGCGTGCGGGGTAACTAAGCGATTGGAAGATATTTGCGAAAAATTGATATTTTTAGAACATTTTTTTCTTGACAAGTTACATGTAGAAGTTTCCAGTAATTCGATTGCTGCGTTAGCCATGCAAAGAGCTGGTCGACGTGACGTCGTGCTGATCGGCATTTCCTTGCCTCTGGCTTTACTCGTGAATCTAAAGCAGCTGCTTAATAACTTCATTAGCTAAAAAGGTTTCTATCTCATTGAAAATAACTACAAAAGGAATTGTCATGTCCATCGTTATGGATCGGCATTTTATTGGGGTTCGGGCGTAATGGTTATTGCGATGACGCTAATAGTTCCTTAGAAGAGCAGGTAATCGATCATTTCGGACCGCGGTTAATATTCTTGCACCAATATGCTATCAATGTTCAATTGCTTGCTAACTAAATTCAGTTCGATAAAAAAATTGACGGTAGCGTCGTGACTAAATTTCGGATATATTAACCATCAAGAAGTTAAGCCAAACGAATTAAAGTTCAAAGTTAAGTAAGCGTGGCGTGGCATTCTATGAAATTCCATGAAAGTTTTGAATCTTGCGAAGGCTTACTTTTGAGTATATATCTTCTGATATCTATCCATGATATTGTTTTCGAGAAAAAGCAATATTGCATAGGCGTTTCTTAACTTTAATCTCCTTAATTACCTAAATGCAAGTCGCGTGGCTGATATATAGACGATATGGGGACATACCTTAAAAAATTAGTAAAGGACGATTAGAACGAATTAATCGAAGCATGACCCTTGTCGAGAGGAAAGCACATGGTGTTTGCGGTTGTTTTATGTATGGCTTTGTAGTTTCGCACGTATAAAAGTTGAAATTTCACGTACGTCGAACTGTATATGTTACGTCTTTTTTAACCGTTGATTTACAACTTTTTTGTAAGTATATTAAATGAAGCGAACGACCTGATCTGCTCAAATATGTTGAAAAGATTTGATGTGAAAAACAAAACTGGTTTTAACTGCGTAGCTGTGCCTGAAAGAGCTCATAAAATACGATGTCTTTTATTGTGGAAGTGGGAGTGTTGTGTAAAAAAGATATATAATAAATTGTGTCATACAAACAGTCACACGTGAATATATATATATATATATATATGTATGTATGTACACATATAAGAAAAAAAAAAGATCTATACTATGGAAATTTTCTAAAGATTTTTTAAAAAGTTCACGCACGCTTTCATATAACTTATTTTCTTTTTCTTTCTTTTTTTTTTTCAAATTTCATAATATTTGGGGCTGGGTTGCGTTTATTGAAGATATCTTTACATATAGCCTTGGAATTAAGAGTTTAAAAGAATTATTAATTTAAGAATAGCATTATCTCGCTCCAAGTGTTAGTTAAATGCATTTTGAAATACTTTGTGATTAGTGTTCCAATTTCTTCAGGGAACGTCAACTAATTAATGTATTAAGGAGATGTATATATGCATATATATATAAAATCTTTATTTGCTTCTCATATAAATACGCACTTTTTTCTTTATAATATTTACACATAAAAAATGAAAAAAAAAAAAAAAAAAAAAAAAAAAAACATCAAAAACGATTGCAAAACTAATGAATTTGTATTTGTGTGTACACATATTTAGGAAATGGTGGTACGTTAATTTGAGAATTTCACAGTATTAGGTTGTCGGAAGCGTAAAAGCTTTATTGTCCTATCATTTACTAAAGTCGTTTAACTATATAAACAACAATCGTCCATAAACGATGTATTATCGACATATGCATATATGCATAGGTCAATTTCCCCAAAACTTTCAAAATCTCTCGTTTGTTGAATAGATTGATCATTACCATCGGGCCATTATCGGTTTAGTAGGTGAAGTGAGAAATTAAAAAAAAGAATTGCAATAAATGGTCTAGAAAGCCTTTCTTCTTTTTGAGAAATCAACTGTCCCATGTTTCATGCTGGAAGCACACAGGGTGTCTTCCTTGAACGCAAGCCTTCGGTAGTCACGCTTTAACCTTCAAAATTCCCCTTTGTTCAATCTCTGATATAATGTCGTTGCGTTCAATTTGAGATCAGTTTCTAGCAACTGTTAGATTGCAAGCAAATCTTTTCAGGGACATAAAATCACCCGAACCGATGTCAGTGGACGAAGTGAATTTTATTTTACTGCGGAACTATTTTCGACAAAGATTCGTTTACAAAAACAATTACAATTAATACATATATATATATATTTCAAGAATGTGCCATCGCTTTCCCAACAATCCAATCTTAATATACGGATAAATATATACATATATACATATATATATACGAAGACCTTGTCATTTATACATATATTGATATACTTAATATAGGTGTTTGGTTATCTGCTCTGCTCGACACTGCGAGTGTATTTGGCGGTTCTCTTTTTGTGTTTGGCGTTTACAACTGAGCCAACGTTACATAGACATGAAGCCGACATTATTTAGGTATAATTTTCTCAATATATGAACATGTATACGTGCATACTGGTATATATATATATTGTATATATATATATATATATATATGTAGGTATGTGTTGTACATATTCTATGCTTGCTTGTGGATCGCGCTGAAATTGAAAATGATCCCCAAGTTGATAAGATATTTCATCAGACAGTTTTGTGTTTTTATTTACCTTTTTCCCTTCGTTTAATCGTTTACAATAGTTTCTTTCACCTCACTTACACAATCACTATCTTCGGTCGTGTAACTATTATCAGTGTCTGGCTTGTAATTATTTGCTTTCTAATTAATTCCTTGCTTGTTGATAATAAAATAAATAATATCATGTGAGTGCGAGACCGGTCGGTCGGCTATTTTTATATTCTTGTGTTACTTGTGGTAAATTATTCCATTGATTTGCTAATGATTTTTTGTAATTATGAGCCAATATTTCCTCTTACATTATTATACTGTAAGAGGTGTTCCAAGGTGTTCCTTTAATATATCGATTTTTTCCCCGGTAAAATGGACCTTTTATTTTATTACTTTAAAAGCAGTTGCCCGAAAAGCCCGATGCATTACGAATCATAAAAATTCAGCCTTCGAAAGGTAAGCAGCATTATTAGCATTCGGTCGCGTTCTTATAAACCGTAAACCTAAGTTTTTGGTGTCTTTAAGTATTACGAATTGACGAGAATCTTTCGTCGGGGGCGGATGTAAAAATTAGATCGCTTTACATAACCTAATTGTTTCATATTTTGTACTATAACGACTGCGTTTAAGAAGCTCCTCGACCTCTGATTCTGTACTTTCCGCCCCCCTTCGGGTGCTAAGGCTATGTTAAGTTTATACGGATGTATGGTATACCTAGTATGGCAGGAGATAAATCCACTTTTTGTTTTACTAACCGATTCAATTTACCAAT